ATAAGTATATCGGTAACCGTTCTACCAATTTGTACCAAACTCGGTATGGTTATTGTACTTGCCACGTGTAAGCAAAACGTTGAAAATTATTGAAATCGGACTAAAATAACGGCCGATTCTCATATAACGGTAAATTTAAGAAATGCTTGAAACTTCAATATTTCGAAATTGAAGGACGCTAATTTACTCAAAATTGATACACCCCGGCTTACCATCTAGCGGAAGGTTTCGGAAGGTTAAAAAACATATATTTAACACTTGCGCCGGGTATTTAATGTTCGGCTCCGCCCGAACTTAGACTTTCTTACTTGTTAATATTTAATCTTTAAATCTCAATATAGTCTAATGCAGTAAAACTGTGATATCGAATTATTGGTTTTTTCAATATAACCTTTAATTAATTAAAAAAAAAAAAAGTTAGCGGTATTCACACCGATTTCGTTTCTTCGACTGTTCTTTAGCTGCCTGTTCGGTAAAAACCTTTTGCTCTGTACCTCATTAATGTTAGTTCGGCAAATGGGTTTTCGCAACAGCTTTGTTTTTACTTTTCCAGCAAAAAACAAGAAAAGTAATATTAATCGAACTTTTGAGATATTACCGCTATAATGATTCATACTATATATAACAAGAAAAGATTTTTGCAAATTTTTTTGGTCTGGAGAATATTTTTATTTTTTCATTTTTATTAGTACAGTGACGAACAAAAGTATTGACACAAAGAATTTTTCACAATGTATGCAAGGATTTCTACTCTAATTAGTTCTCGCTAATTGTTTATAAAAATATAGTTCATACTACAACGAAAATCGAAAAAATATAAAAAATGTATCTAAGCTTGAGCAAAATTCAAAACAATTCTATAAATTTCCAGAAATATTTGCAACTTTCTAATCATATTTTTTGAAAAATTTTATGCAATTTATAGCTTATTCAATTTTAGTATAACAAAGTGCAAGTATGAAGTTGCTTAAAAAAAATCGCGCTGATTTCTGGCAATGTTTTTCACGCAGTTTCTTCTGCACAAGGTATGGTCTACAATTTATTTATGTGGAAGAATATAAAAATAAAGTAATATTTTTATACAAAATTTGCGAAAAGAAATTAGAATAAGAGACGTTGCATACATTGTTAAAAACTCTCTGTACCAATATTTTATCTCGCCCCTGCATTTGTCGACGTGTCGCAAAATAGGGCAAAAAGGGCTCCAAAATCATACTATTTTAACCAAAAAGCTCAGAAATAGCGTAAACGAGACCAATTCGGGAAAATTTTTCAATATGGAACCAGGATTTCGAAAAAAATAAAAATGGTGTAGAGCGCAACAAAACGCAACTCGTAATACAGTAAAATGAATGTAAAAAATCTCCATTTATTCATATCTGTTGAGTTTAAATTAATTTTCAAAATTTAGAAAAAGTTTAAATTTAAACCCTACAAAATTTTTTTTTAGTTTTATCTTTAAGTAAAAAGTACAAAATCTCTTATGAAATGGTCTATTATATTTAACAAATTTGAAGTAGATTTACCGATCAAATCAAAATTTTATTCATTTTGTCATTTCGAAAATTTTACTTTCACGCAGAAAATGGGGAGTTTTACCAAAAATGTATGCGAAGGTCAGTCTGCCAAGCATGCCTTGTTTTCTTAGTTAGCTTTTTAGTGCTTTCGTTACATATACAAAAACCAAGTATTAAGGCAGCAAATTCGGTGTGAATACCGCTATTGTATAATGTATGTAATATTTATTTAATTAAATATATATATATGATATATTTATCCAAATCTCTACGGTTACTAATTCAAAAATTGTATCATCTTTTACTTGCAGGTCTTTACCCAAATTAAGCAGTCAAGACGAAGAAGGGGGGGCAGGTCATGGGTATGGTGGGGGGCCACAGCACTTTGAACCCATTCCTCATGATCATGATTTTTGCGAAAGAGTCGTTATAAATGTAAGTACAAAAGAAACAAGAAATGAAACTCAATTTATCAACTTGAAATTTCGGTTGAAATACGAAATTTATTTAAAACGATTTAAAACTCATGTCGTATAGTATACAGTAAAACCTCGGCATAACGAACTTTAATAAAACGAAAAACTTAACATACAAAATTTTTTGTTTAGTACCATAAAGAACCTCGTTATTGCAAATATTTCCAAAGAAAAAAGCTCCATAAAATATATTGGCGATTAAAGTCCCGTAAGCAAAAGCTACTTGTGTAGACCGAAAAGCCTCTACCTAGTTCTGTGAATGACATAAGCGTTATTTTTTTCAAAATATACTTTTTTGTTGCAGAAATATTCCGAGAACATCTAGATACACTTCTGCATAAGAAAACAAATTTTGAAAAAAAAAATGTCGCTTACGTCTTTTAGGCGGTTAGGGCTCGATATATTGACGTTGAAGGCCCCGTCGACTCTAAAGCATCTACATTGCGGATTCGGAAAATGTTGACTGTTATAGTCCCGTTATTAAAAAAATATAAACTATATCTACTGATGGAAAATGTATTCCAAAACTTTGCACTTTTCGTTCTGTCGAGGCTTTCATATTTTTAAATATAAGTATAGACATAGAGAAGCATTTGTCCAACCCCTTTAAATTCGTTATATCGAAGTTTCACTGTATAATATCTTCAATATAAAATTAAAATTCAAGACTTATTTGAATTCAAACTCAAATTCACACTCGATCTCCTATTGAAATCATATTTATGTTGAACTGAAACTTAAATTTGATTCAAAATCAAGCTTTGAAATTTTACAATTTATAAATATCTCTTGCTTGGAGTGAAAAGTGGATAAGTCCACTTTGTACGAAAACTCATACGTTGATCTAGGAAGCAAGAGAAATAAAAAATGCATTGTTTTAAAAGGGACTAAAGCACTTGCTTTATTTTTTCACCTTTATATTCAATGAAAGGCAAATTTGCTAAGGAGCCACCGAAAATCCGATAAGGTCGAAATAATACGATAGCTTTAATAAACAGCGAATCCTGCTGATTCGTATGGAGCTCTGCCTCCTTTAAACATACCAAATGTTGTATTAAAAATTTTGCGAAATACTTTAAGAAAGGGTTTTAAAAATGTTTCTTTTTCCTTCCCCGCAAAATTTTTAATAAACGACTTAGCAACTTTTTACTCTACGCTTGCGGTAACTCAGTATTAACCAGAAATTTTTCCAAATTTCNAAGCTTTAATAAACAGCGAATCCTGCTGATTCGTATGGAGCTCTGCCTCCTTTAAACATACCAAATGTTGTATTAAAAATTTTGCGAAATACTTGAAGAAAGGGTTTTAAAAATGTTTCTTTTTCCTTCCCCGCAAAATTTTTAATAAACGACTTAGCAACTTTTCACTCTACGCTTGCGGTAACTCAGTATTAACCAGAAATTTTTCCAAATTTCAGACAAAATATCCTACTCAAATTTATATTCAAACTCAAGTTCAAATTCAAATTTAAANAACAAAATATATCCTACTCAAATTTATATTCAAACTCAAGTTCAAATTCAAATTTAAAATTTTGACAAGTATGAGGTGAATAAAGTTTCACCAGCTCATGGGGCTAGTGAAATTTTTTGAGAAATGCATAGAAAATTATGACAAACGCAAAAATTGTTGATGTGCATAATTTTTCTGCCCCAAATTCAAGCAAAAACAATAAAATATTAGGAAATGGAGTTTCTGGTGGAAAAAATTAAGAAGTATTAATAACACTTAATTAAATATTTCTTGTAAATACATTTCGTTAATGTTTCAAAAACTTTAATTGATTAAAATTAAATTGATTAAAAGCTTAAATCGATCAATGCTGGTAGATTTTTTCTTAAAATATTAATTTCTCTTCAATTTATAATATTTTATTCTGCGGTTGTCAAAAATTTACTGCTGTCAAAAAAGATTTCATTTCACACAACAGATTGGCAAAACTGTCTCACCATAGTAAACATTTTATTCACCAGTTTTCCCCACAGAACTTTGCTACCGATTCACACACGTCCTTATATGTGTAAATATAAATTCGAATGCAAAGTCAAACTCAAACTCAAATTCCAAATCAAATTCGAACTCAAATTAAAATTCAAAGACTTCTTTAAAATTTCAGTCAACGACTCACATTTCGTAGATCAAAATATATAGCAAAAAATTATGTATTGTCTGCACTAACCATTATTTTGTAAAATATTTTTTATGTTTACTTCTTTTCTTTTGCCTAAAAGGTTATATAATACTGTTTTCATATTTCTTGCATTTCTCAATGCATTCTCTTTCTATTCTTCTTGATTTTTGTTTTATTTAATTTTTTTTTAATTTTTCATCGATGCACAATGCCTCCTGCTATAGGTAAGCGGGTTAAGGTTCGAAACACAATTACGAACGTTAAATCAATTTCCGGACACACTGCTGGGGGATCCAGCTCGGCGATTACGGTACTTTGACCCGCTTAGAAATGAATATTTTTTTGACCGTAGTCGGCCGAGCTTCGATGCAATTTTATACTATTATCAAAGTGGTAAGTGTACTACATACATATAATTATGGTGTAAGTCTTACGTTTTTATCTTTTTTTTTTTTGAATACATATTTGTTGAATAATTATTTTGATTTAATTACCTTAATAATAATCTAATTATGTATGCATAATGAATAATCTCTTTTCTCGCCTTTCGCTTCTAAGGCTTCTTTAACCCATTTTTCTAACTATATATGGGAACAGACCCTAGAATTTGGTAAATAGATCTTAACGAATACGAAGCGCTCCCAAAAAGCAGTGGTTTATGTAATTCCTTTCTACACACATACTTATTATCGAGTATAATTTCAAATCTAACCTTTTGTGTAGTTCATGTAAACTTCTAAATTTGAATTTAAAGGATGGCGGATACCTTTTTTGTTCGCTTTTTATCGAATTTAAAGCATAAATTATATATACACAAAACGCCTGGTTTAAAGAGACTCCGTGCGCCTTGGCTATCTGAGATCATAACTAACAACGCACCCTTGCCCCTTTTTCTGATTTAATTTAACTTCAACTTGGAATATTTACCTGTTATTTTAAATACCAACATTCGCTCTGACTTCCTTCTTTGTTACACCCATATACCTATGTACCATTTCTGGAGTCCAAAACAAGGAGCCCGTTTGTACAGTCCTCGTGAGCTTAATATTGTTTTCACTAAGAATTTTCTTCCAAAGCAGATATCCTTGGTCACGGAATCCGAAAGCCCGTATCTTTCGAACCCAGGTATCTTCCCGTGAACCCCTGTATGAAGCGTCTTACTTAGTGTAGTAGTCGTTAGATCGTCGAATTTGTAACTTCCTCGTTGTTGTTGGTGTAACAGTATACAAATTCCCAAAGGGTTTTTCGGGATTTGTGCTGCAACCTCCTCGTCACTGCTGTTGCTTTAATATAAAATATGATGATCAGATATAAGAGACTCCAGAGCAAGTTCTCATTGATCCAGTGGTGGAGAGACATACCTGCAGTTTATTTATTTCCGCATAAGTTGCCTCCAAACGGCAAACTCTTTATATGAAAAGCTTTTTCATACCAGAAGTACACTCAGTGCAAACCGCATTGCCTTTTCTATGATTTTTTTTATGTTGCTCAGCATTGTGATTGAACAAGGGTCATCCGGACAGCTACTACGCACCTCTCACCACTAACCTGCGGCAGTCCTGGGCGGCAAATTGAAAACGAAGCAAGTGCGATCGCTAGCTAGCTGCCACAGTTAACATCGAAATCGATAACATGCATCTTGCCTGAAGGTGGATAGCAATACAGACAAATTTCTCCATTTCCGTCCGTCTTTCTCTTTACTGGAGTTGCCCCTTTTTTGCTCAATCGAATTGAGATTGGAACAACTACATTGTCTGTCCTTAAACGGATTTCTCAGCTTCACTTAGGTGCCAAGATAATTTTATGAGGGTGGTTTTTATATATTTTTTTTCTTATTTGGCGCTGTACCCGCCTAAGCGATTTTAGCCGAGCTCAACAAAGCACACCAGTCGTTTCGCTTCTGTGTCAACTGACGCCAATTGGAAATGCCTAGTGAAGCCACAAGTCCTTCTCCACTTTGTCTTTTTATCGCAGTAGGAGCCTCCCTCTTCCTCTGCTACCACCCGAATTGCTGTCGAGAATTCTTTTAGTGATGATTTTGATTTTTTACTTATAATTTTATAATAAACCTCGGTGTACAGCTCTTAAGAAAAACGAAAAATTTACACATATAGAATGACGCACAAAAAAAATAAAAAATAAATTTAACCGACTTCAAAAAGAGATGAAGGTCATCAATTCGTCGGAATATTTTGTTTTCCTTTTTTTCCACGTCAACCGATTCCTATAATTCTTTTTTTTTTTTTAGGGAAAGGTGTTACCTTATAGGTGGTCCCATACTAATTTGGTTATTTTTTTCTTCAAGAATATTTACAGCAACGGCAAAGTATTTTTCAAACAGAAATAATGCAAATTACTTCTTGCAATTAACCAACTTCAAAAAAATGAGAAAGGTTTTTTATTCTTTGGAAACTTTTTTTTATGTATACTACCGGATAATTTTGAACCACCCGAACCATTATTGATATTTTTTTTTTTATCGGAAAGGTCGTGGTCCCATACTAGTTTGGCTTATTTTCATATTATCATTGAAGTCGGTTGTGTTTTTTGTTTAAATATTGCTTGCTTTTCTTAAGAACTGTATAATTTCTATGCTTAATGCTTGAATAATATTTTCTTATTTTAACCAAGAATGTTTTTTAATATATAAAAAAAAAAAATATTTCATGTATTTTTTCTTCACAGAAATTAATATAAAATATTGTAATAAATATATATTAACATGAATTTTTCTGCTCTTCTCTTTTACCCCCTCTTTCATCTAACAAAACATAATCGTTTGCATCAACACATGCACACCACTAAACAATCATAAACATACAAACAACGTGAAAAAACCAATTTTCCTTATTATTTTCATCATTATTGTTACAATCATTACTATAATTTATGTATATTTTACAATGAAACTCCCTCATTTAGGTGGTCGACTGCGGAGACCGGTCAATGTCCCTTTAGACGTATTTAGTGAAGAAATAAAATTTTATGAATTAGGTGATCAAGCAATTAATAAATTCAGGTAAGAGTGTTACCAAAACAGAAAAAAAAACACACGATACAAAATATTTGTATATAAAGAAAAAAAAAACAAAAGCAAATATTTTTTGTTGAAATTTAAATAAATAATTGATTACAAAACCGATGCGTAGACTTAATTGGAATATTAATGCTGAATGATTTCTACTCGTAATTAACAAAAATTTGTTTATTTTTTTTTTTTAAGTAGACTTGTATAACTATATAATCGATAATCCTCTGCAAGAACGGCACAACTCAAAACTTAAAAAAAAAAAAACTAAATGCTTACTACTGTTAACTGTCTCATGTCTCTAATGCTTGTCGAATCCACGTCTGATTCTTTCTATTTACTTTAGTAATTTTTACTACTTAATTTAGCAAAGAATTTACATGGATTGAACCAGGTTTAGAGATATGCGACGCTTAACAGAGTTGTGTCGTTATTGCAGAGTAGCATCGATATACACTAATAAATAAATGTACAGAGCATTATTTTTGTTTAACCAATTATGTTTACTGTGTTTTAACACTAATACAAATGTTTGTATATTTACAAAGCCCAGTTGGAAAATGATTTCGAAAAAAAGCATGAACTTAGAAAATAAGTATTTTTTTTACATACTTACGAGTACCTACAATCCTTGTTGGAAAAATTTGTTTATTTGTACTTGACAGCTAAGTATTTTTCTCTTCGTAATTTGAATTCACCTTAAGGCGCTTTCAAGCCACATAAGGCACACTCGGCTGTAAATCAATGTAGTTTACATAGTTGTTATAAATACACAATGTAAATCATTACCTACACATACTTACATATACAAGTACATGCGTAGTCTTTCAACCATCTAACTACAAATATATATATATATCACTACAAAATGATGACCATAATATTTTTTACAAACGTCATGCGTAGTTAAATTGATGCACTTCAGCATACTTCAGCGCGCACGGAATGTGAATATCATACAAAGTCCCATGAGAAATTTCATAAAAATCATTAAGACCCAATAAACTTACTTTGAAGTATTTAATGCAATATATGTATTAAGGATTATGACCTCTAACAGAAAATCTGGTATGTAAATACATATGTGGGGAGGGGGTAAAGCTCCCTAAATATCAACCGCTAGAGCTCTCTTGCAAAGAGAATCATTCACTTTTTTAAGTTATTTCTATATGTATTTTACATATATAGACGGCAAGGAGAAAAGCACTCATTGAATAACACTAACTTAATACTGTGACGATATAATTAAATTTATACGGTTACACTGATAAGCCCACAAAGATATCAATTGCCATATTTTCAAGGGAATCCGACGGCTTTTTTTACTACATTTTGCCGCTTTGCCCTTGCATTTAGGAACACCTTTGCGTTCTTCAAAAATTTTTCGGCAAAAATCACATTACATTTTTGGACCATTTAGGGCGTAAAAAGAGGAGCTTGGCTTTAAATTGCTTTTCATTAAAACTTCCCGACGTATTATTATTTTTTATTATGAGCCATAAGCACCGCTTGCGCTAAGGTGGTCTACTGTGCGTGGCCCTTTATCCTATACATGAAGGCATTTCGAATAGATTAAGTGTTATACCACCTAGATGAGCGAGCCTGCGAGCAACACATTCACAAAGGCAGTGTTCTAACGTTTCTTCGTCTGAAAGATTTATCTTACTAAGGTGCGATGTCCCGTGAAGTACCCAATTAGAGTTTGAAGGTTCTCTCTGCCTAGTTTAGGCGCGTTTTTAAAGCGTATTGCGATTGACGGATCAACCGCTTAGTTTGTCTTTGTCCTGGACAATCACTTCAGCACAAGTGGAATTTATAGTGGGCTTTGGTGAGCTCATATAGGGTTCCGGGTCATGGAAAATTGTGGTTCTTTTGCTAGGCCATTGCAATCGTGTCCCTCATTCTCTGGCACCCAGCCCAGTAGTACTGTTTTGTTGAATCGGTATTTTACTAGCAAGGCAGCCTGACTATGCGAGATAATACAGATGTTCTTAGAAGCTGTGCCTCTTCTGAGATATTCCTTTCCAGAGATACTTATTGCTTGAATCTCCGCTGGGTAATGTTGGGGACGCTGTCCAATAGTTATCGTTCATTTAAAATTCGTCCCAAATATACCAGATGCAGTCTTTCCATCTTAAATTTTTGATCCATCAGTGTACCAACTTCATCTCATGGTTTGGTCTAAAAGCGGATTCATCTTTCTAGTTCTGAACTTTTTCTTCCATGTGGTTGTTGTTATATTTCTCTAATTGTGAGAGAAACGCAACAACAACCACATGGTAGCAAAGTTCTGAACTAAAACGATGAATCCGCCTTAAGAGTTTCCTACGCTACTTGTCATATGTCCGGTTTTAATTCTGAAATATTTAGGAATCGCAAGGCTAGTGGCCTCCCTCTATATTATGATTGGGAAGGCAGTATACTCACCAGAGCACTGTGTGCGTCAGCAAGACAGGTCTGCATTGTCATCGATTTGTGGAGGGTCGCATCCAAGTTTGCCTACCAGGTATTTTGCTTCATTTGAAAACCTTATTCTAGTACCTCCCATAGTAAATTTAGCCACGGATAAGCTTTTTCTTAAACCTTAGTTTTAGCGGGATTAATGGATAATCCTTTGACGTAAGGCTATGAATAGCAGTATCAATGGATTTATCTAGTTGATAGGCGAATTTTTTCATATTAAGTGATCATTCCGATAGGTTGAATTCTCTGATGTGTTGAACCACAAGATTTTCCCATGGCTTTTATGATAAAGGAGCTAAGGATAATGGGTATGTAGGATGAAAGCATCTGGTCAGGTTTACCTGGTTTCCTTCTACTAGGAATATGGCACAGTAAGAGCGACGCTTTGTATAATCCAGAGAGGACTGGGGCTATATAATTACTTCCTTGTTGAAATAGGCAAAGATAGACCCCATCTTGTCCTGGTTATTTAGAAGGGACAAATATAATACCGCCCATTGCACTCTTTCTACAGAGGTGAGTTTAGTTCCAAGGCTTTGTTCCATGTCAGAAGTGTATGTTTGAGCACCCACTTCCGGTCGATAATAGCCTGCTGCATAGCCCGGAAAGTGAGTGTCTCGCCCGGATGCTGAGTATAATTACCATCTCATTTCTTTAGAGTGCCGATCGTTTTCTCATGTTCCTTAGCTGGAGCGTACTGCTTCTGGCAGGCTATTTTTTCACGCAGTGGTTTCGCCTTTTAAGATTTCCACGATTCTTTGTTAAAGGAAGTTAGCGCAAATTATACAGATTGCAATCACCGGTATTCTTTGGACCATTGAATAGTTTTCCCGCCTGGCATCTCATTCGCTAAAGCTCCTTGCACCACCAAGACATATCACGTTTGAATTGCACCTTTTCTTGGGGACAACTACTGTTGAAAGCTATTCCAATGGCTGAATGAAGATGTTCAGTCTCAGTCTCAAGCTCCTTTGCAGTCGCGATAGGACTATTGGATCGCGGTTAGAGTTCGTTTTCCTAGGATTTCTAAAAACAAGTGACCAATGACGAATTCTATTGGCATACGGTCTGGCATCGATACCTCTCCTGAGACGGGCCAGTTTGCGACATACGCTGCCATATTTTGACAACTTAAATTAATATCTACGACTTCCCTGCTAATAGCGTTCTCAAAACTCAAGTTCATCCTTTTTGTTGGAGTCGGTGCTCTCTTAAACAGTATTATAGACATTTTCATAATAGCAGAGTATCCATGGTCTACTACTCTGACGGCAGTGATCTATTAGTGATTTTACTACTTTCTACGCTCCCTAGGAGTTGGAGTTTTTTGCCCAGACCGCAACAAGATCCGCCATCATGAACTTTGAGAGCAGAAGAAACGTTAGTTTGTTACTTAATAGCATCGCTACCCTCGGGCGTAAGCTGAAGGGATAGATAATCTTACCATCCTTTATAAAAAGGCCTTTGACACCACTTTTACTTATGCAGGGTCCGTGGATGAAGGCTAAACCTAAGCCTTCGTTTGTGAAACTTCTAGCACAAAATATTTAAACTTGCCTTGGCGTGGTAAAATTCACTTAAAGGCATTTCATGTGCCTCGATTTATGGAAGGTTTTGGGGTGAGGTGCCATTACTTGCGGTCTTTGCGGTCCATGAGCATATACTTTCTGCCTCCTGTTACCTCCCACAAAACCACTTCCTCGGCCGCCCTAACATCTTCCTAACTTTACGGATGGAAGCAGGCCCTTTGTGGTGTCCGTATTGCAAGCTTTGGGCATGCGATGAGTCCGACGTTCCGTTAGCTTCTTTTAGCACCTGTTGTCGGCTCGGGTATGTTGTTGTTGCTGTTCCCGGAGGCGTCGTTGGAGCTTCGACCTGCGATGAATTCACGACGTAACTTGTTCTGGAAATTTTTCACGAAACTAGCGAATTTCGGAACGCATACTGCAAGCCTGATAAACTACAATTTTTAAGAGTTATCTTTCAGTAGATAGCTTTAGTATTTATTTAGTATAAAGCGAACCTTGCATAGAAGTCTACTCTCAGATAGAACCTAGCACATCGCAAGATTGTCGTGCGGATCTTGAATATTGCTGATTCACGAAATACTTCTCTCTGAGAGCGTTCGTTATACTGTGGCTCTTTTACTTCTTTCATCCTCCACCTAAAGAATAGCCTTTGTTAGTATTGGCGTTTAAAGGTTTTTTCTACTCCCGTCTGATTCCATTTTTCTCTGAATATTTACTGTCCCCATGAAATGGTTCGACCACCAGCGAAAGGCTTAATTAACCACAGCTAAAATAGAGCAAACCCATATTTTTTACTTTGCAATGGATAAATTTTTGTACCCAGAAAGATGTGTATCCTTTACTATAAACTACTTAAGAAAAAAGGAAAGTTTAATCGTAACCAGTACATAGACTAGCCGATCTATCGTTGACTACTATATTCCAACTGGGCATTAATTGCAGTTCTATGTTTGTATTCCATTAATAAAAATCAATAAACTTCCGAAAGGACACTCGTAACCAACGCTCATTGCTATCACTTACTCTCTATGTAAATACAACATGTTCGATGTTATTGTTGTTGTTTGAAAATTGGTGTTGTATGAAATTGAAATTAATTTTATAAAAAATTGATAATTCTTTTTTGTTTGTTTAAAAAAAATTTTATTTAAAATTAATCCGGATATAATCCACACGTCATCGAATAAGAACAAAATTCTTTGAAATGTTGCAACAAATTTTGATGAAAAAAAAAACGCTAAAGCAAATGAAAATAACTACTATTGCAACACAATTAATCACTTGACCACCAGCTTAAAATTTTGTGCATACGGCATTGGGGGAGTATGTGGCCGGTACCGTGGCACGCACACGCATGCGCAAAAGCAGCAAGCAAATTAAACAAAAGCCAATTCCATTGAAATTTGAATGGGAGTTTTACTTGAAGTGCAACGATCACCAAACAAAAACAAAAATAAAATAACTAATGTCGAAAAAGTTCATATACACTACATACTCGTACGCATTACACGCACACTACATTTGTAGCTGAAATCATTTTGTAGTGCATAATACTAAATACATACAAACAAACATGACATAGCAAAGCGGGCTCGTAGCGATTATACATACATATGTATATGCAAAGTAATAAGCAATACAACGCTGGGCATGCAGAGATGCTTACACGCCCTATGCACAACAAAATGTCCATTCAAGACACAAACCATCTCAGCCGCCGAAGCTACCTACCACCGCTGTTGAATAAATACACCGTTGAACGCAGCGAAATTTGGCAACACAGACAACCGTTGATTGCGATATACATATTTAGTGTGGTTTTTTGAATGTTTTACTTATGTACATATTTACACGCATACACTTACTCATAAAAACGAACAGACACGTAAAAAGAAAAAATAATTTTGAATTTTCTTTTAGTTTTTTTCTAAGTAGAATTGTTGTTAATTTTTGTTTAAATTTAAGACAAATTTACAAATTACTTCAGTGTTACCTTTTAATTAAAATGATCACTGACGGTTGCTAAGTAATACGTACATATACATATTTGGTGTCTATTGAATAAGAAATGAAAAAGGCAGCGTGAAAAAAAAGAAACATTTAAAATTCGATGTAAATTGGTTGGTCTTTATTTTAGAGTGAAAATGCATATAAGTATTTTGTAACTGTAGATAATTAACTAAATAACACTTTCTGTGCTTTTTGTTTAATTTTTGAAACCACATCACGTCAACCGACATTCGTAATGCCACAGAGAGGATGAAGGCTTTATTAAAGAGGAGGAAAGACCATTGCCGGATAATGAAAACCAAAGAAAAGTCTGGTTACTCTTCGAGTATCCGGAGAGTTCGCAAGCCGCCAGAGTTGTAGCCATAATTAGTGTATTTGTTATATTGCTATCAATTGTTATATTTTGTCTAGAAACATTACCCGAATTTAAGCATTACAAGGTGAGTTGAAAACAGCAAAAAAACAAATACATTAAGCTTTTTGAATGTATGAGCTTTTTCATAATTTTTTGAAGAAGAGAAAGCTCCCGGACCAAACGCTTTGGATTCATGAAACTTCTCAAAACCGCTACGACAAAAACGTAAGCCTTGCTTGAGTGAAAGCTTTACGCTAATTACGACTCGTTACTATGCTAATTGTAGTTAAAGCTTCAAAACCAAAACTACATACATACATTTCTATATATGGTTAATCTAACCACACTTCTATCTCAAATAGTATGAATTTAGAAATTTCTGAATCCATGAGCTTCGTTACGAAAGCTCACATTTTCTAGCCGTTCTGGCGATTCGTTGAAATTGGAATTCAGAAATTTCTAAATCCATGAGCATTTATTATAAAAACGTATGCCATAGTAACTTGAATGAAGTCTTTACTTTTATCGCGCCAGCATTAAGCTAAGCAGTTCCAGTGAAAGCTTAGTCAACAAAAGTATGTCGTTAGCTCGAGCATTCTTCTGCATATTGGATCAAAGTGAACTCTCAAACTTTCGAGCTTTCATTACCAAAGCGTTACAAAACTTCAGCGAAAGCTTTACGAAAGCGCTAAGCGCTAATATTTAACGGAAAGCTTTTTAACCCAAATTATGTGGTAAACACCACCATTCATCTACTTCAGAAAAATGTGAAAAAGCTCATTTAATTTTAGCTCAGTTTTTTTACTAAAATTTTTCTCTACTTAACGTTTTCCTTTTACTAATCTCAAACATACTAAACATTAGATTTTTTAATACTTCGCTTAAATTCTTATTTTTCCGCTTTTTGCATCCATTTTTGCAACTTGATGTCAAATACAATATATTGAAATCAAAAAGCTTCTGGAACGGGTTGGATAATTTTTTCTTAACAAAAAATACAATTTTAATAATAATAATAATTGTTCGGTGTTGTAACTAGATGTGCTCCAACCAATGCCTTTGAAAATACTTATATAAAATACCTACTTATAAAGCCTAAAATGTAAAGCCAGCGCAAAAAGTTGAGAGTACATTCTGGTTTGAGATTTAAATAATTTAATTTAATATTCATTAATTTGTCGGTAAAAAAGCTTGCTACTCTGAAAGAGCCCTTTAGTATTGTGCTCATAAGAATATAAATGAGTGTGTAAATAAAGAAGCTAAAACGTATGTATGTCTGTATGTATATAAAAATTATTCCGCTCAAACTTTTTAAAGCTTCTCATGTAAACGAAAAAATTTTTAACAGCTTTTTCTAAATTTCACGATTATTCATTTGTACTCGTAGTATTTTTATTTAAAACAACTCTGTGCAACTACCGCTATTGCAGGATCTCCTTTCCTAATTTCTCAAGAGCATTACAAAATCCGTAAGAAAGCTCTAATAAAATTGGTATTTAATTATTATTTTGTTTATTTTAATTATACTTAGGAAACTCTTTTGCCAAATGTGGTATTATTCTTTACGAATGCGCCAAAAGCTCTGAAAAAGCAGTAACGAAAATTCCAACGCCGTTTTAAAAAGAGTTATATTTAAGGCGAGCTTTTTAAGCTCTCTGTAGATTTTATATAGACCCCTACAGGGTAACAGCTCTCTCTGTCTATGACTGTTTTTAAACTACTGAAAAAAATTTCGCAGTACACATCAAATCTTCACTGTCAACAGCGACTATTAAAAATTAAGTAAGTTTTATTTTTTCCGCTTTTCAATAACTCAAACCAGTTTGCCTCTTAATTAAATGTTTATAGCTAAACGAGCTTAATTTTTAACGGTATTAAAATACATTATTCTAATATTAACTATATTCGTAAATTAAAAAATATCTATAAATATTTATGTGTGTACATTTACGACAATATATTGGTTGCCTAGAGTGCACTTATCCTTTTGACATTAAGTTGTGAAAAGTAAAGCATATTATGTATAAATACTCGTACAATACAATTTAATTTATACAATTTTTTCCCCATCATGCCAACCCCAAACACGACGAGTTGACAGTATTTTAATTAATTTTATTATTATTTTATCTATTCTATAACATTTTTTTGTTTTAATTACGAAAACAACAACTTAAATGCCTTATAATAGGATGAGCTTGGATGACTTGAGCTTTTTGAATGGCTAGCAGCCAATTCAAATTTTGTGCAGCACACAGCCTAAGCGTATGCAATTAATTTGGTGCAAATATGAATTATGAAATAAACTTATTCCACATAGAATCACCGCTACATTTGCATTTTTGTTAAGATAATCATTAAAAAAATAAAAATAAAAATTTTAAATGCTGTCACACACCTTAAAATATTCACACATGTGTAAACACTTCAAACCAACATTTCCTCTCCTTCGCCTCGAATATTTTGAATATATCTTACAAAAAAAAAAACAAAAAAATAAAAAAGTTATTTAAAATACCTCTATTTTATTCAAACTAACTCTGTAAATGCTTCAATGCTAAATTCAACATACATACATGTGTGTAAAATTATTTTTTTGTAAATGTCATTAATAAACTTCTTTGAAATTACTACTCAACAACGAAACAGGTGTTCATACAACAACAAATGGCACAAAAATCGAGGAAGACGAGGTGCCTGACATCACAGATCCTTTCTTCCTTATAGAAACAATATGTATTATTTGGTTTACATTTGAACTCACAGTCAGGTAAGTTTACTTATTTGGGCACTATATAACCTTTAAGATTATTATAAAATATTTTTTTATAAAAAAATAATGCGAGTAGAAAACAGAAAATTAGATAAAACTCCAGTTCGGTAATAAGAGGACCAAAACAAGTATTTTTAACGTGTCAAATTATTGCATATCAGCGTTATTATTGGCAGAGGCTCTAAGTGAGAATTTTACACGAAAGCTTTAAAAATTAAAATAAACTCAAAATAGGCTGAGAGCAAAAAAAAAAAATATTTTAAAAAATAATTTACCAAAAATTGCGCTTAGTGTCCTTTGTGATAATGGCGATGATGTCTGTACGGTTGTACATATACATACACATTTACACAGATATGAAAACGTATTTGATGTATAAAAAATATATATTATTACAATAGTAAGTAAGAAAAACAACGAGGACCTACAAAAGTTACTCGAATAGCGAAAATAAAATTGAAATTTTAACATTCTTCTGGCTAAAATTGTTGCCAAAAGCAAGAAAACAACTTCATTACTTAACAAAAATACATTGTGTTACGTTGTAATTTTGTAAGTAAGTAATAAGTAATAAAATATAAATCTAAAACTAAAATCAAAAATAAAAAAATAACACAAAATAAAATTTAAAAAATATAAAAATATGAAATTAAATATAATTAAACAGAAAATAACATAAAAAATAGAAAGATGAAATGAAAAATAAAACTTAATTTAACTGAATACAGAAAAATATATATTGTAACAAAAAAATAAAAAAACAACAAATGAAATTAAAAAAAAAAAATTAAGTGGCAGTGTCCAGAACGAGCGCTTACACAATAAAGTAGTGTATGTCCGAGCTTCTCCTCCGATGTATAGCGTGCGCCTGGATATTGTCACACAATGGGGAGAGACCTACAGTTTTACGTCGACTCCGAACGGCGATTGTATTTCTATGAGAAACTCTTTTCGATGGCAGAAATACAATCGGAGGTTTGCCATTGCGTGCCAAGGGGCGCTATTAAAAAAAATTGTTTTTTTTATCAAAATATAATGAAATAAAATTAAGACAAATAAATTAAATTAAATTAAACTAAATTAAATTGAATGAAATTAAATTAAATTGAATTTATTTTAAATAATAATAAAATAAAATAAAATAAAATAAAATAAAATAAAATAAAATAAAATAAAATAAAATAAAATAAAATAAAATAAAATAAAATAAAATAAAATANAATAAAATAAAATAAAATAAAATAAAATAAAATAAAATAAAATAAAATAAAATAACCTAAAAAAGTGAAGTAAACTAAAATAAAACAAAGTAAAATAACCTAAAAAAAAGTAAAATAAAATAAGTACTATACATACTATGCGTTTCAATTAATTATAATAGAAACTAAGAATGTTTAATTACTAGTTCACTTAGCTATAAAAATATGTATTTCTTCACTTCGACAAAAGAGTTTCAAAATAGTATTTTTAAAGAAAAATTCTAGTTTTTTAACTTATAAATATTTCTCATTCAATATCCGCTCAGTTTGATTTGTAATCAAATTTCATCTGTGACCCTTTTCTATGTTGCAATCTTCGCATCCCATTCCATATTAAGTTTTTTTGTTTTGCTCATTAAACTCATAAATTCTCCAACTTTTTGGCGAAATAATTTTTGTTTATGCATTTAACCATTAATCAATATTTTACCAAAATCGTATGGTTTTTCATAATTTATTATTTTTTTATTTGTTTTTGGCGTTCTCATGGAACGATTTTAAAACCTAAAATTTTCACTTTCTTTTCGGTAATACCTTTTGCCTTTTATGTTGTGTACCCTTTTTGTTTTATTTTTAATTTTTTTATTTTTTATTAAATACTGCATTCTTATATGAGACCTCTTACCACTACGCCAAATTATCGCATTAATCTTCTCTATTTTGCTTTAGTATTTTGTTTTATTTTTCCCCTCATTTTTCAAAATCCCTCTACGTATTTTTGTGATTTTATATTTACTCGCTGTATTTTATCTCATAATTCTTAATGCCTTAGTTTTAATCATAATTTTTTCTTAATTTTTACATTGCATTACTCATGCTCTCTTCTTTTTCTCTCTCTCTCTCTCTCTTTAACACAACCACACACTCATACAAACATCGGTTTCGCATTAAAGGTTCCTCGCATGTCCGAATAAGTTAAATTTCTGCAGGGATGTCATGAATGTTATCGACATAATCGCCATCATTCCGTATTTTATAACATTGGCGACCGTCGTCGCCGAAGAGGAGGATACGTTAAATCTTCCAAAAGCGCCAGTCAGTCCACAGGTATGTTTTCTTGTGTGAGAAATTTATGCACAAAATAATAATAATAAAAATTTTTAGTTTAAATTATTTATATTTGTATATCGCTTAGTAACAACAACACAAAAATACTCGAAAAAAAACAAACACGTCCATATCAATAAGTTATTTACAAACCACAAACAAGAAAATCAAAACTAAAATGCAATATTTGCTAGTGTAAAAGTACGTCTATTAGTTGAATTCCGCAAAAAAAAAAAATTCATTTTTCTCGAAATTTTTTACTATACATTCATCTAAAACTACACCTCTCGTACGATTTTCAACATTGAAGCGTCAATTTTTACTTTGCATAAAAACGTGTTTGTGTATATTTTTGCGTTTGATTTTTAAACGCTTTCACCCACTAAAACACTTGCGTTTTTGAATACGTACACGTATATACAAAAACATAAATATACCTGTATGTAAACATAAATACATACTTACTTAGTACATATAAATTATTGCATTATTCTAACTCTTGCCTTCTTTCTCTATCAATATATATATATATACAATACTACAAACATACATAGCTCTATGAGTAATACACATACATATATATATATATATATATGTATTTTTTTTGGTTCGAATTACAATTTCAATTACTAACCAATTACTAAATATATCCACCGCTATTTGTTATTTACATACTAACTTCTATTTATTTATTGTTTGTTATTGATTGTTCAAATACATATTTACTTACTAACTACTTGCATATACATACATACTAACTATCTATAATTATGCATACTAATATACGTACATATATTTACATATATATATAAATTTGTTGATTGAAAACATGCCATACCGATTATAATTTTTTAGGACAAGTCATCGAATCAGGCTATGTCCTTGGCAATATTACGAGTGATACGATTAGTTCGAGTATTTCGAATATTTAAGTTATCTAGGCATTCGAAGGGTTTACAAATTTTAGGACGAACTCTGAAAGCCTCAATGCGGGAATTAGGTTTACTTATATTTTTCTTATTTATAGGTAAGTTCCAGCGAAGAAAAAAAACAAATTCAAAAACTAAAACAAGCAACACAACAAAATCCAAAAACCAAACCAAAAAAAAAACAAACAAACAAACAAAACTACCAACACACCTATATACACGCATCCATCAAAAACGAAAATTACAACAATTTCCGCTTATACTATTTAACCCTTGAATACTTGACTACCAAGTAAACCATTTAACCACAAATACCAGTACTACCAATACAACTAAACTACTAAATACTACCACTACAACATATCACCCTAATTGTAGCTGCGTTAGAGCCACAACACATGCACACAGCACACACACACATCCATACCCCTGGTACCATGAAAACACCTGTTGCTCCAAATGTTCAAAATGCCAAAAAGAAAAAACCAAGAAACAACCACAGCTACACAAAACAAAACACAACAAGGCACGGCCCAAAAACAAACCCCCGTATCAGGTCCAATCAAATTTAGCTCTATTTTTTGTTCTCTTTCATTCACTATGAAAATTTCACGCCACAGAAAATGGTTGAATAAAAGAAGTTTTTTTTGAAATTTCCATGCCGCTTGTGTGGCGCTCGAAAGTTTCTATTATTTAATACTGAAATCAATAAAAAGCTCAAATCCAAACGACAATGAAATGACAATGAGGATGAAAGGAAGGCATACTTTGAAGCGCAGTGCTTCGAGAGCAGAATCGTATTTAAAGCTGTTCAGGGAAGTAAAAAATAGTCTACTAAGCTGAGAATAAGCTCATGATTAACGGAGCATTCTTTAAAAAATTTCTAAATCTCAAAGAAAATGTGTATGTGGGAATGTTTCCTTTTTAAGGCCGTTTCCAAAAACTGCAGTATAACTTAGTAAAAAGTACTTTCGACTTAAAAAAAAGTTTTCATATCTTGAAAATCAATCAGGAGAATCTGACTATATAAATAATTTCATTAAGTTTCGCTAGATATGTATTTAAAAAAAAAAAATATTAACTTTGTATATCTGTAGTCGGGAGACCATAACGAATATATATTTCATTTTCAAAACGCCAAAAAAACGTATACACTTTTTAGCACTTTGAGCAAGAAAACCTATCAGAATCTGCTTTTATTTTCTAGAACAAAAAGGATAACCCAATTGCTGCGATATTTTTGACATATTCATAAAAACGAAAAAAACAAATATTTTGCAAAATTCCGAACGAAATGTGGAAAATTTCCACAATACTCCGCAAAATTTCGATAACTCTCAATTTTTTCCCACAAAAGTATTATAGATCAACGAAAATCAAAACCAAAACCAAAGAAAACCCCAAACAAATTCGAAACGAAAATCCGAAACAAAAAAAAAATATTCAAAATCTCCTAAAATATTCACTCGAGAGCCTAAAAATAGTAGCTTATGATAACGACCAGATAAAATTCCAAAATACCCAAAAATAAATCGAAAATTTTCCAAAACTTTCAAAATAATTCCAAATAACTACCTTAAGTTACCGAAAATAAAAATATTTCTTAAGAGCATCGCGAGAATTCCAAAAAGACCCCAAATGACGCCTACCAAAATAAAAAAACAAATTTGCCAAATGTCCCGAAATAAACCCCTTTCAACTTTCTACAGCTCCCAAAAAAATCCCAAAAAATACCTCGAGTTAGTCGAACAAATCAATAATTGTTCTTTTTTTTGGAATATCACCGGGAAAACCTTCCCCTCAAAACTCTGTACAGCATCGCTCTTATTAGTGTTCAGCAGACGGCAGCGACTAAGGTCATATTCTTACCTTCGCGAAGGCAGGGAAACCTGAACATCTACATTCGTCTTACCGACCGGTCAGTTTCCCCTAAAATGCATGGAGAAAACTTTAGATAAACACTTTGGAGTAATCAACCTAAGAGATCAGACTCCACACTTAAACTAATTAGGCTAACAACCAAACAAATAAACTGAGACGTCATTCATAGCCTCACTACGGAAATCAGAAAGGCTCTGAGGTCATAGCCCATTGTGCTTTTATATGTAGCAGTGATGAGCCAAGAGAGCTTTTATATATAGAAAGCCCCAACTCGACCTGTAGAGCAATAAAAGAAGCTATATTAAAGAAGGGATCTTAATTTTGTTACCAACAAGCCGAATAAAGCTTTGTTTGCTTGTTTACGACAGTTTGGTAGAGCATTGGGTATCTCTTCAAAAATAAAGTACCTACTGATTTTAAAGCCAATATCCTTACTACGGTGTACTAAAGCTACACAAGGAACTAAAAGCATAAAACTATGTTAATAGCACCGGATGGTGGCAATTGGCATAACCGGAGCAATGAAGACCTGCTTTGTTGATGTACTTATTATCTTGGTTGCAAAACTTCTTCCAGTCCTAAAGAAAAAAATAGGCAGCTTCCTCGAAACTGAGAATTCGTAGCACTTCCTACTTCAACACCTCAAACGTGGCAGGCTATATTTAAATAAATCCCAAGAAAATTTTAAAAACTGGGTATTGTGCCTTTGGGTCGAACTTCAAACAGTCAGTTCGAATGGGCAGCTTCTTCTTCTTCTTTGGCTCTATAACCTCCTAAGCGATTTTGGCCAAGTCCTTCTCCACTTTGTCTTTCCATCTAAGCGGGGGCCTCCCTCTTCCCCGGCTACCTCCATTATTGAAGCAGAGATTCTTGCATTAGCTCCCGTCTGGCTTTTACTCATACGCCCAGGTGGAGTCAGGCTTAATCCATTTGAAAATTTGGAAAGAAAATAGCCCAACTCAGAGATGGCGGTGTTGATAGCCTAATCAACCAATAGTAACATTTTTATGGATACTTTTTACAAATAATAAAAAATTAAGAAAAAAAAACAGCAAATGTTATGGATTTTTCTTGCTCAAAATATTAAAAATCAGAAAATTATAATCAGAAAGAAAATCAAATTCTACAATAGGAATGGCATCTTCAAAGGCATTGGCACGAGAATTATTTCACAGGGTCTGTCTGGTTTCAAAATAATAATTTTTAACTAAAGACTCTTAGGCTGAGATTCCGTTTGTTTAAGCATTAAGACTTAAGCTTTACAAAAAAAAATTAAAAATTCTTAGGCGAACAGTAATTTGGTTGATCAGCCTAACCCGTGGTATTACCATGAATTTTCATACTTTTTCGCCTTAATTAACTTGTATCTGCTGCGCTTATACGCATTTATAAAACCTAATAAATTTCAAAGTAATTGTGTTAATTCTTTTTTGATTCAATTGCCACTTTGGGAGGCGATTTTTTAATAAAAACTGCAGTTACCTGACTACTAATTCATCTTGACTTCAGTAAAATATTTGTGAAAAGGAATGCAAATTAAATTTTAATAAAAATGTCTATAATCAAAGGGGGACTTTGAGCTTTTTACTGATTTCTGTGAACTCTTAAAAAATAGTAAAAACCTATGCAAAAATGCAAACACATGCACTATACCAATAATTTCTTTCGAACCCCATTTTTTACGTTACCCTCCCTCCGCCTAAGTCCACTTTAAGCTTGCAAAATAAAAAATATATAAAAACAATTGGAAAGTATACCAAAAAAAAAAACACTTTAATTTCCATATTTTCTAAAATTACCGCTTCTTCTATAAATATCAAAAATATAGTAAACTTAAAAATATTAAAGATGGCAAAACAAGCGTAAAAAAAGAAAATACTAATTTGTACTGTACCTTTGAGTGTAAAAATTAGCAAAAATTAAAAGACAAAAAAAAACAAAAATTACAAAGAAATTCAAAATTAACAACAAAAATGCTAGTGCTTGGGAAAGTACTTTCCAAAGTACTTCACAAAGTACTTTTAAAAGTGCTTCCCAAATCTTTACCCGCTAACGCAGACTAAGGCAGGCGTCTAAAAATAATGAAGCAAAAAAATGATGATTACTCGTAATTTTGGTGCTTGTAAAATAACAACAATCATGTGTAGTTGTTATTTTTTTCTTAAAACATATTTGCAAATACATATAAATAAACTTAATTTTATATGTCAATGTATAGTGTAAAATTGTATGTAGGTGTAGGTGTTAGGTATTTACTATTAAGCAAGCATAGTTTTAGGCGGATAAATATTATTTCAAAATATTATTAGATAGCGGTAAAATGTTATTATTAATGAAAAGTAAAACATACTTTTACGTACATACATAAATACATATGTAGTAGTGAACTAGGCACTCACTCATCTATGTCTATGCTGATTGAATGAAAAAAAAACACTGTGATCACCAAAAAAAAACGAACAGTGTATGTTTTTGAATGAAAAAACGTTCAACAGCGCTAAAACCTCACAGCTAAGCGCTCACATATAATATACACTTACGAATATACATTCATATTTATATAGTAGGGTGCTCCTTAATATACCTACTACTATATTTCGTATATCTGGCACCCCTCTATTTGTTCTACGTACAAAATAAAGACATTCTTGAGAATTTCAAAGGCTTCAACAAATTTTTTTGGGGTCGCTACTAAGGTTTGAAAAAATTTTCTTTTCTTTTTATAATCGCAAAAATCCGACAAAATTGTGAGTTTGACCAGATTTAACTCCTCAGCTTGTTTAAACTTATTCATATTTATAAATTCATAAACTCGCTGGGCAAGGTCAAAATTTTGCCGAATTTTTTTATTTTTTTTTCTTAATTTTTCAAACCCTCTAAAAAATTTCTCTTTTAATTTTGAAATTTTCGTATAGTTATGCATGCCTTTATTTTGAACGTGGTACAAATGTTGATATTTTAAGGACCACCCTACTATATAATATAGTAAACCATTCGCGCTCTTCTATACTTTTTTTAACTATTACATATCTGCGTCCATTGAGGCCTATATATATGCATAAATAGTATGTACGTTCATACATAAGTATAACTGTAGTACGACCGCATCGCCTCGGTTGTGATCCCTTAAAGTTTGTATGCTATTCCAGCATTTCGATTCCTGAGAAGTAAATATATGGAAATTTACTCGAATTTTAGTCTATTGCTCCTGATATAC